TTCCTCAGCCTCGGCCTCCCAGAGACCGAAGCCAAGCCCCCCCCTCCTCAATCTGTTCCTGAAGGGGAGGTAAAGAGGTAAAGAAAAGCTTTCTTTTCTTCCAGTCTTCTTACTAGTAAAGGTATTTACTATAAAGTGTTCATCTGCTTTCAAAATACAGATTTGAGGCTGTCCATAAAAAGAAAGTGTATATTGAGGCTATTAAAATAGTAATCAAAATCCATGTAGAAGGAAGGGTGAGAGAACCTATGCAATATCTAAGCTAATATAACTATTGAATTTAAGCATCAAAATTAACTATGAGCTTCCTGGCAGCCAAAGAAATAAAAATAAAGAGGAGGGGTGGGGAGGCACAGAGTTGACGAATGCTAGAGTGAAATGTAGCATATAGCTTATTGCTTGTGGGCTTGGGGAACTCTAAACCTTCGTCAAGCCCAGCTGGTGTGGCTCAGCAGTTGAGCATTGACCTATGATCCAGGAGATCGCTGTTCTATTCCCACTTGGGGTGCATGACCAGGGTGTGGGCTCCATCCCCATTAGTGGGTGTGCAGGAGCCAGCCGATCAATGACTCTCTCATCATTGTTGTTTCTGTCTCTCCCTCTCCTTTCCTCTCTCTGAAATCAATAAAAATATATTTTAAAAATAAAATAAACCTTTGTCAAATCCACTCAGGAGGCTCCTGGTTTGTGCCAAGCTGTGTCTTGACCCCTTGCTCAGATAGTCCCCTGGCCCTTGCTTCTGCATGACTGCAGCCCTCGGTCAGCGCACCTGCCTCACCTCCTGGCTCTGTGCCCTTGGTGAATGTGCCCAGGGTCTCTTCCAGTTCTAACATTCTCTGATTCCAAAGAAAGTGCTCTTTTTTTGTTGTTCTTTCTCCATATGTAGTTCCACTTGAAAACCTTTCTATTCCAGAGGTCAAGAGAAATCCCCACCCTGTCAATTTAATGTTTCTACTTCTTGCCTAAGAGGCATGAAATTACAGCCTGCCACCCAATATTAAAGGTCATTTTCCATGAATTTATAGATGGTGATGTCCAGATAACTTGTGACTTAAAACATATGGTCACCAGCTTCCCTATTAGATCAGCCTGTGTATCGTCACAGCTTGGTCTAGGTAATAAGGAGGATAGTCATTAAGCAGGAGACTGTGGTGTCTGGTGAGTTGGCCTGGCTTGATGGCCCTTGACTTCCCAGGTCTCTTGACGAATCTCTCCTGGGAGAGAAGATGCTCCCTAAATGGGCCTTTTCTCAGAGAAAGGCAGCTGCTTCCAAAACACACAGCTACTGAAGCCCAACCTGCTTAAAATTATATTTACTTTCATGTGTTCCTGTCTTAATTACATTTTTTCTTTACTAGCATTTTTATTATTTAGAACAACTTACAAAAATAATTATGCAATCATTCCTTCCTCTGTACACAGTCGCCGTTTACCTTCCTGTGTCAGGTTTTCAGCCCCTCATTCATGTGTATCTGTACTTACAGCGCCGCTGTCCTCAGAGTTTAGATATTATGGGATGCTGGTATTCAGCAATTCCTAAGCAAGGAGTAGAAGTCCCCCTGGGGCATTGTTCACGTTGTCCAGGACTTGTTTAGAAAGCACATATTATGCGGTTTGCTCTCAACACATAAACAGTCTTGTATTTTACGTTTTAACTTAGCATAATTTCATGCACGCTTTTCCATGTAGCTACATAATCTTCAGATTTATCATTTTAATGGCTGCTTAATATTCCATCCAGTTAGCATGCCATAATTTACTTAACTGTTCTCTATTGTTGGAGCCTTAATGAAAATTTGAATTCACCATGTAAAACGGGGGAAGCTTGTTTTAATGATTGCCATTATAACATCCCCTGCCCTAACTGCATGCCATTACTAACCCAGCTTTGTAAGGCGCAGATGCTTTGGGAACAATAAATCCTGTGTGAGAGGTGCACACACGAGGCCCTCTGATTTAATAGCTAATCTGTTCCCTGGCACATGTTTTCCTTTTAGGTTGGTATTTATGTAGAATGTCCGCCTCTCCTGAATATTGCATAATACTAAACTGTACGCATTTGGCATATCGTTCCAGGTACTTTACCACTGCTGCCGGGGACTTTCATAAATTAACTGGAATTGGGGGTAAATCTGGCTGTCAGTTGTCATTCATTTATCCCGACCAGATTCATTGAGTATCTGTTTAGAGCCAGACGCTGAGAGAGAGTGAGGGCGCTCCTGATTATTGGGGGCCCACAGAAGTGCATCTGTGAATTGCTTTGTGATACCCAAGATGAAATGGTGATTCGCATGCAAAGCGCTGTGTAAACTGTATTACCCAGTAGTGGTTGCCGGTCGTGCTTCTGAAATAGGGGGAAGAGGAAAGTGGTTTTCCAGGCCAATGCCTACCAACTACGATCTGGTGTCCTCAGCCCTCGGAATTCTCCAAAGATAGGAGGCAAGACTGTGCTGAAAGACCAGGGCGAGAGTGACATGGATGACTATGACCTTACAAAGCAGGTCAGGTAGTTCACCTACCGTACTTTTCGGCTGTTCTTCACCTTCAAATGACCGAGTCCTGCCTTTTATAGCTCTTTTCTTTTCTTCTCCCTCCCCGCTAGAAAGGGAAGCATCATCCTCAGAACTAGCCAATGATTCCATTTTACTCACGGGACCTAGTAAAGCTTGCTTTGCCGAAGTATGGCACACCCTCTCAGAGGAGGCAGGGTTTTAGGGGGCCTGAGAACCATGTTGTGAGAAGGATTTTTCCTTTCCATTCTCTCTTTGAGAAAGTTACTCTTATTTGCCAAAGAAACTGTCTGTCTGGTGCTCGCATCCCTGACAGCTCTCCAGTACCTGCTCATCTCCTTTTCAGCCGAGGGAAAGGCAAGCCTTGTGCCAGCCTCCCAGTGGCAATGGTACCTACCTGGTTGGTTTAGCCTTTCTTCATTCTTTTTATGTTTATCAGCTGTGTAGATGATGGCTTTTGGGAGGGTGATAGAAAGCTTACTTTTTAAATGATAATATTTTCTCTAAAAAGTAAGTAAATACGGTAAATAATAACTTAGTTGGTACTCAAAAAAATGGCAAACTCATGAAGTCAGTACGTGACTGAATGAAGTTTGGGAAATACTACCTTAACGTTAGTTAATGTCCACACTGACAACCACCGGCATAGCCTCAGTGGGCTTCTGTTGTATCAGGGCATGTGCACGGGATAGGACATCTTTCATCCCCATGAGCTGGCCTTGGATCGTGAGGCCCAGCCTGAAAGCAACACTCTTGGTTGCGAGGGCTGTGTGTTTTGTTCAGTTGCTCTTCAAGGCACATGGGATTCTACCGTATCTCTCTGCCACTGGAACCCTGATTTGGAGGATGCCTCGAGTTTGAGCAGCTGTTTAAACAGCTCACTCAGGGCTTGCACCCTTTTGTTTCAAGCCCCACCTCCACTCTCTCACCTCCTTGGACCCAGTACTCCAGCAAAAGTGGACAGTGAATAGACATACACAATGGGATATTATTCAGCCTTAAAAAGAAATGAAATTCTGAAACATGCTACAACATGGAAGAATCTTAAAAGCATTATGCTAAGCGAAATAAGCAAGGCCAGAAGGACAAATATCATAAGATTCTCATCATGTGAGGTACCCAAAGTATCAAATTTATAGAGACAGAAATAGCATCGTGGTTTCCAGGGGCTGGGAGAGGGAGAAATAGGGAGTTATTGTTTAATGGGTACAAAGCTTCAGTTGGGGAAGATGATAAAGTTTTGGAAATGGATGGTAACGATGGTTGAATAAATATACTTAATACCACTGAACTGCACACTCAAAATGGTCAAAATGGCAAGTGTTATATGTTGTACCACAGTAAAACAGGAAAGCAGGCAGTGAACACGTTCTCCCCAGCCCTGTGGTCTTGGCTTGCCCTGGTCCTACCATAGGAAATTCTGCCCTCTCCTGTTCCCACCTGTCAGAGCTGTCAGTTCAAATGCCATCTCTCCTCATGACTCATCCCTCACAGGCCCTGCATTGAATCCCTTTGCCGTAGAGTGTTATGGTGATTTAGGTTGTATCTCTTCTGAAAATGGTGGGCTTCCCGAGAGCAGCCTCTACAGTGAGCTCTCCCTTCCCCATGTCCCCATCCGGGCCCTGCACACAGTGGGTGTTTATGATCAAAGCAGGGAAAATGTCTCTGTTTGACTCAGAAGCACCCGACTCTAGCATCCTTGCATCCCTCTTTTAGCCCCCACCGTCCTCTCGAGAATGAGCAGCAGCTGAAATGGAGTTCACCCCTCAGCCCACACAGGAGCCGGACCTTGGCATCATCTCCAGATGATTAAGAGCTTTCCTTCCTTACTCGGAAGTGGAACTAGACTCCTGCTCTCACATCCCTCAGATGTGCTCCGGGTGTTAGGAGACAGGCAGGCTGTGGGGGAGATAGAAATGCCGGGAAGAAGTCACTTTATAGGGGTGAAAACGGTGACCCCAGGTCCCCTGGGGAGGCTTGTTAGTTAGGTCTTTTGAAATGGCTGCAAGCTGGGTGAAAACCTGAGGATCGTTGGGCACGGTCTCCTCACTCAATATTCAGATGGGGAATGAAAGTCCTGAGGATGAAGAACGACCCTAGTGGGGAAGATTCCACTTGTCTGTGAAGCGAGGGGGTGGGAGCTCTGTGTGCCCTGGGCTGGTGTCGGAACACACCTGGGACATCGTGTGCATGTCGGGCCTTGCCCTTGAGACTGCAGTGAACCAGCGGATGGAGGCAGTGGGCCTTCTGCCTCTCTCAGTACCCAGAGCCTGAGATCTTTGTGAGGAAGCCTTGCCTGGTGAGAGCAGAGATGCCGTCTCCAAGGGCTAGGAGGAGAGATTGAGCACAGAAAGGGGGACTGTTCCTATACAGTCCTCACCTCCTTGGCTGGCAGCTCAGAACTCCTGTGGGTGTGTCACCTGGCAGATCCCAGGTGAGGAAATGCTGTTTCAATTCTGTGACACCTCTGCTTCCTTTTTTTGCCTGCAGAATTTCAGAGGCAGGAAAGTGTCCGGTCCCAGCACAAAGGCATCCAGTTATATGATACCCCTTACGAACCCGAGGGCCAAAGCTTCGATTCGGACTCAGAGAGTGCAGTCAGCCCCCGACTGCGGGAGAGCAAGCTGCCCCAGGATGACGACAGGCCCGCCGATGAGTACGACCAGCCGTGGGAGTGGAACCGGGTCACCATCCCAGCTCTGGCAGGTAAGGAGCCAGTGGCCCTGCTCAGAGGCAGCCACTGACCCACCTTGGACACTCACCTTCAGCAATGGTTGGTCCCTATCTGCTCAGGTAAACCAAGGGCTGCATTGGATAATCCAGTCCTTTCTTCTAGTACAGCTGAGTCCCTCAAAAATGAGGGTCCTGGAAAGAAAGGAGGCCAGGTCAAGGGGAAATCCTGGGTCTCAGTTCCAGTCTCCCCAGTCTTCATAGACGGCCCAGATAATCTCATTGTCTGACTGTCTTGGTCCTGTTGGTAATGCTCTAGCTCACTGAAGCCAAGATTTCAGACTTCAGAAGGAACTTTCTTAGAAACTAAAACAAAACCAATCTGCATTGCATCTCCTGTTGGGCCCGAGGGAGCCCAATGCCTCCACCTAGTTGTGTGGCTGCCCTAGGCCTGTATGCATCCAGGGCTGCTCTGTGTCCTGTTCCAGCTTTAGCATGAACCTGTTCACAGAGCAAAACCACGGGCATATCCTGACCTCAGGGGCTGGCCCTTGCCCTGGCAAGAGCCCCCTGAGTGACTCAGGTGCCTCCCCTCCACCCCACTCCAAGACTGGCTTTCTAGAATCCAGTACCTGTCATGGTACTAAACTGTTCCATAGCCTTTTGGAATACAGTCTGACACATGCGCCAAGGTCCTGAGCTTGTTCACACCATTTGATTCTAATTGCAGTCCATAGGATTCATGCCTAGGTTATGATCTAAAATTCAGAAAAGGCATCACTCAGGATCATCAAAGATAAGGAACAACCTGAATACCTAGCAGATAGAGACTGACTAAATGGAATATTGTGCAGCCACTAAAAAGTGCTGTTGACAAAGTCTAGAACAACCTAAGGAAATGTTTTTGTTTAATGTTAAGAGGTGAGAAGCCAGACACAAAAAAATATTTTATGCATTTAAAAACTTAGGCATGTGAAACAAAGACATCAAATGACTAATTTAATTCTTACCACATTAAAGGTCATAAAGGGAGTGTTTACATTTTTAATTTCCTTAAAATTCCTATTGCCTGAAATCTCTCTTTTTCATGCACAACTAGACCTTTCCTCCCTTTCTGGCCCCGAACAGTGGGGCCTCTGCCTTACCCACAATTCCGATCCCCTCAATTGATGTTCTGGTTGTTCCAGCACATACTACTCACAGTTCCCTGGATGTAGTGCTCTGTGCACATCCCATTCCTTCTACCTATATGCCTTTCCCTCCTGTATCTTACCTGGAAAAATCCTGAGCCTCCGTTGGGGTCCAGCTCAAATGTCGCCATCTCTGTGAGCCTTTCCTGGCACAGCCATGTACCCCGTGGGCTTCTTTACTGCCTCTCTGGGCCTGGCGAGCTTCCTGCACTTATCCCTGGTGAACATTTCTCTCACTATGTAGAGTTCATTGTGTGGGTTCTGGTCTCGCCTGCCAGGCTGTGAGCGCTTGGCTGAGAGCCAGTAGTGAGAGTAGTCATGTGGCTGGAGGTCCTTGGTCATCTCAGGTTCTCCCATGCATTTTGCGGCCTCTTCCCTTGGCACAAGGGAATCCGAGGACTGTCCCTGTCCCCTAGCATAGCTAATAAGGGGCAAGACTCCTCCTGGATGTGAGAGGAGCCAGAATGGAGCCAGTGCTGTCCAAGAACTTGCTCTTTACAAACACCAGTTTGATTAAAGGGCTAAAGGAGCTCATGTGACAACTCTGCCAGATACCAAGGGCCCGTGGCATGAGTTAGCATTGCAGACAGGTGTAGGGTCTTACCTCCACCCCTCTCCTGGACTGAGCACCTGCAGGTCACTCAAGGGCTATCCTGCCTTTGATGCTCTAGTCTAGCCTGGCACCGTGCTGCCCAAAATGTGGTCCCCGGACCAGCTACTGGTGAGAAACATAGGGTCTTGGGTCCCATCCCAGACCTGCAGAGTTAGAATCTGTTTTAACAAGACCACCAGGTGATTCGTGTGCACATTCAAGTGAAAAGCGCTTGCCCTACTGGACACACACCATCTCTTCAGAAGGCTCTCAGGCCAGCATGTGCCCACTTCTGCCCAAAGATGGTTTCAGGACTTATGTACATTTGGTTTTTCACAAAGGATCACAAGGCCTCTGAATAAGTTTCTTTGAGTCACAAGTATCCATTCTGGACTTGGTTGTGTGTCACCGAGTTGTATCACAAGTGTTATTATAGGTCAATAGAAGACAGACTCAGAACCACAGCCCCGTCTGTGTCCATGGAGTCACTTATCTCCGTGTGAATTGCTCCGGAGCATGTCTGGTTGTACTTTTCCCAAGAAGCTTTTGGCTCAGGTCTGATTTCTGGGGCACAGAAGGAAGCTGTTTCCCTCGGGCTGGAGGGATGCCGTGAGTACTGCCTTTAGTCATGTCTGGGTCCTTCCCCAAGTGTGTGGACAGAGCCTGTCCAGTGCAGCCTTGGTAGGTGAAGAGCAACTCCTATTTTCAGCCCAGAATGGAGATGGAGTGAGAGGAGATAGGCCACCTGTCGAGTAATGAGGATGAGTTGCAACAGCTCGACTGGCTTGATTGCTAAAGTGCTGCCACGGTCCCATTTGTAAACCCAGAAGTGTGGCTGCTCCCGAGTGAAGGATGTTCCCGGCTGGGTGAGCAGAGTGTGTGTGTGTGGGGGGCGGGGGGAGCAAGTCATTGGTGTTGTCAGGGAGGAGCAAGGCAAGTGCTTGGCTAGGCCCTGTCCCCCTTATTACAAAACCTACTCAAAACACCCCACACAGATTTTCTGAACTCTCGGGAGCTCTGTGATGGGTTGTGGCAACCTGGGGTGCAGGATCCTTAGCTGGGGAACATCTGTGAGGGATAAAGTTGCCTGGACAAAATCATTACCGCCTCTTTCCAAGCCTTGTATTCTTTGATTCTGCATGTTTAGCCTGAATGAGGGAACCTGATTAGTGTTGTCAAATCTCCAAAAGGTGTGGAGTATGAGGGACCCCCAAAGGACAGAGCTGGGCCCACCAAGGAGGAGACAGGGATTTAGGGTCCAGGAGAGTAGTAAGAATTTTAGTTACACCTGAAAGTATATAACGAGCTTCCCCTCACTGGGAACTTGCAAGCAGAAGTTTACCTGAGTCAGGGTGGATGCCGAGGGCTTTGCCAGCAGCAGGAGGCCAGCCTGTGTCACCTCCAGGGATGCTGCTGAGCTGCGTCCATCAGAGACACCCCCTCTCCCCTGCATGCTGGTCAGAGATCCAGAGAAGGCAAGGCCTCTGAATTATCTCCATGATTCAGTCTGTGAAGCAGAAGTGCTTCCCGCCCTTCTGTCCTGCTTTGCATTTGTGAAAAGAGACCCTTCTCAAAGGGGCTTTGGCAGTCTCCACAGATGTAGTCCTCTGGGCCAGCAGCTCCAGACCAGCCTTTATGGAAGCAGAGCCATTCGGTCTCGGCCAGACTCTGGTGGCTGCAGCCTTGGGAAGGCTCCATTATCACTCCCTGTTCTCGTGAAAACAGCTATTGCAGGGTGTGAGGCAGCCTTAGCTTCACAAACACAAGTGGTCCCAGGTGTTGCTGATGCTGTTGATCTGGGGACCTTACTTTGAAAGGTCTTTCCTGCCGGCCCTGAAAGTCTTCCTTTTTCTCGGAGTTCTGTGGCCAGCTGAGTGAGAAACACCACAAGCTCTCACAAAATTCTGAGCCTTCATTGCCTGCTCTCTCCCTCCAGGAAGCTGAGTGTGGCCTCAGCCAGAACACCCACCCCCACTATAACCCGCCCAGTGGGCCCCATTCCACTTGCGCGACCTTTGTTGATCCCAACCCCCAGGACAGATGCCCGGTCAGGTTTTCACCCACAGGCTGCCACCTCACCATCCACAGAGGTGGTGTGGCTTCCATCAACCTGACAACCCCCTTCCCACCTGGCAGAGACACCTCACTCCAGAGCTGGCTAGACTCAGTTCCTACCCTGCTTCACTCACCCACTGAGAGTCTTTACGGCAGCAAATTGTGAGACTGGCCAGGTGGGTCTAGAAATGGCTTTCCTGCGGGCCCACAGCCCCAGGCCCCCAAGGGCTCTGTGGAGCTCCCTGCCCAGTGTGGGGCAGGAGAAGCAGCCTCAGGTAATTCTACATTGTCTCAGGGTGGTGCTGGCTGGTGTGAGGGTCTGCCTCTCGGCAAAGATAGAAGATAGACCTATTACTCGGTGCTGAACATAGTTATTTGGGATACTTGTCTGTCTTCCCCACTAGCTCCTTTGTTGGGTTCCTCTGCCCTAGAAAACTCAGGACAGTGTCTTGCATCTCAGGAGTCAATGGGACAGTAAGAATCAGACAATCCCATGTTCACACACAGGTTCACCACTCACCACCTGTGGGACCTCAAACAGGTTCTGCAATCTCCTGAGTCTTAGTTTCCCCATCTGTAAAATGGGGATAGTCACAACCCTTGCCACACTGGATCTCTGTGATGATCAAGGGAAAAGATCTGAATGAAAAGACTTTGTAAGCCCTAAAGGGTCACACTTGAGAGAATGGTTATTGGTGTTCAGGGAAGGCTTGCTGTATTAAATAAAATTTAATTTAATATTAAAACAGTACTACTGCATAAAGAGGTACTTAGAGGGCACAGAGGACCCATTTACAAAGCTCATTCCATTATGCCTGGCAATGAGATGCATAGATGGTGTGGAAAGCAACGTTACTGTAGGAAATCCTAAATCTCAATTCCAGCAATACTTCCAACCACGAGCCACCTGGGTCTTCCATTCTTTATTCACTGGTCCCTGGGTGTAACAGGGTCCTCTGCCCCTTCCCCATTCAGCTGTAACTCAGTTATGGATCAGTTAGTTTGCCCAGAGCGTTTGTTAGAATCACTTGGAAGAAGTATTAACCAGATTTCTGGGTCCCACCCCCAGAGTTCCTGGTTCAGTAGGTTCCAGGGATGAGGCATGAGAATTTGCTAGTCTAACAAAGGTCCCAGGTGTTGCTGATGCTGCTGATCTGGGGACCTTACTTTGAGAACCTAGAACATACTCAAGTACATAC